ATTTGAAATTAAAAGAATAAGTAAAATTAAAATTGTTAAGATTGAAAAAATAATTTTACAAAGCATTTTGAATTAAACCTTAATAAAAATTGTAAAAGATTTGTAAAAATTTGTATAAAGATTTGTATAAAATTTATAAATTGCAATATACAAAAAGTTGTAAGATAAAGATTTTTTATGAATAAATCATAAAGTTTAGTTCAAAAAATTTTGAATTTTTATAGTTTATTTTAAATAAAGATATTGATTTGAAATTGAATTTTATTGGTAATTAAAAAATCATATAATTCTTCTACAAAAGGATTTATTAAAAATGCTTAGCAAAAAGGCTTAGAAATTTGAATTTAGAAATATTAAAAATAAGAAACCTTTTTTGTTTTAGTCAAAAATAAATTTTATTACGTAAAATAAAATAATCTTTAAAATTTATTTATATTTGTATTATAAAATTTATTTATATTTTAATAATTTATAAACTCAATCGCCATTTGGCTCTACGACTACAATTGTAGTCGAGCTCAAAAAAAAAAATAAAAAAAAACTTGCAGTTTTTTGATTTGCTATAGTCTAGACCAACTTTGGAACTTAGTATATGTGACAAATGCTATCACAATATAATACATTCACATTATATTTTGATATTTTTGTCATATATACAAAGCCTTGACTAATAAGTTATAATTTAAAATAAATATATAATAGTTTATTTAGATTGCTTTAATCTAAGAATTAAAGATAGTTGCTTTACAAATACACTAGGTTTTAAACCAAAATCTTTATCACTATAGTTAATTGAATGACAATTTAATGTATTTCTATTATTTAGTTCTTGAGACCAAGATATATTATCATTATCATTTTGCACTTTTTTTTTAATCAAATCTTGAAATTTTTCATATTTTTTGTTTACTACATAGAGTTTACTAGCTATGTATTTTAATCTCCAGATATTATTTTTAACTAAATATCTAAAATCTCGATCACATACAAAGCTGTATTTCTTTCTAATTTGTATTTTAAGATATTCTTTATGATCAATATAGAGAACTAACAATTCATTAAAATGTTGATTATTTTTTAATACTTTACTTGAAGAATGAACAGATTTATAATTTGAAATTTTTTTTGGATTTCGTAGTTGAGGGTTTTTAGCTCTTATAATTTCAATAAAAAATATATGAAAAAAAATTAATTTAAAAATAATAGAAAATCGATCTTTTTATATCTTTTTTCAAATATATTTTTATATTCGATTAACTGATCTTTAGATTTAAAATATTTTCTAGTTCTTTTTTTGTTTATTGATTTCTCAAATATCTACAATTTATATGTTTTATAATAAATAATATTAGAAATACCAGATGAATTGTTAGGCTTCCCTATTTTTCATTTTTTAATTTTAGAGAAACGATCTTTTTATAACTTTTAAAATAATGATTTACTTAAATTAAATTTTAAAAAAAGAAAAAAAAACTCATTACTAATTTTTTGAAAGCATAACCACCTCAAAAAACTTGTTCATCATCAATTTTTTCAAAAATACAACCACCTCAAAAAACTCTATTTAAAATACATATAAATTTAAATTATAAAATATAAATAATTTTATAATATGCAATATAAATAAAATTAAATTCAAAAAACATACTCTTCCTGTAGATCATTTTGACCATTTCTGGAGCTAAGAAAAAACTCAGATTTACTCAAGAATATCAATAAGAAACAGCCTAATAGTTACTAAGAAAAGAGAAAGAAGGCCCCAAAATACAGATACTTTAATAGAAAGAACAAGAAAGATATCAGAAACCAAAGA